CCTGGCATGGAGTTGGCCGCCGGAGAGGGGCGATGTCCCAAGGAGTTTTGCCGGAGTGGGCCGGGGAGGGACGGAGATGCTGAGCCGGTGCGAGGCCCTCTGGAGCGCGGCTGACCCCGGCCGATACGCGTCGCAAACGGAACCGCAGTCCGTCCTCCTTCCTCCTGCCCTAGTAATACTGCGAAAGGACCCCAGAGTTGGACTCTGAATCCACATTAAGTCGGTGGCCCCATTTAACCATCTCGAGCAGGTACCCTGTGGCCTCCTGGAGCCAAGAGCTCCCCAAGTTACACAGAAAAAGAGGATGTTCAGGTGCCACTTTTGGATCCCGATGCTGGGTACCTGTTCTAGGAGGTCTTGGCTTTAGAGTGAACATCAGCGTTTGGCTTGCACTGCGTGTCACTTGGAGAGGACTGCTGTTTGTTAAGTACTCTTGAATCATGTAGCTTTCTCTAAATCACACTAGGCAATTAGGAAATAAGGAAATAATAAGGAAACATTAATATTTTTGTTTGTTACGTTCAGGCTTTGCCACTTTCCTCCCCAGGTACAGTTGAAAGGACACTTTCTGCATTGTGCTTGGATCTAATTTTAATCCTGACAAATTTGAAGCACCTGATTGGGCTTAGATTCTTGAAACTTCTTGGTGGGGGAAGGGAGAGCTCAAACTTTGTCTGTTAAAGGTTTATTAATACAGCAAGGCAATAATAAACTTGCCAAATAAATGGGTGTGTGCTAAGCACCCCAATGCAAACAGAACAGAAGCCTAATTCTGCACATTTTATTGCTTTAGTCTGTATTTTTCCCCCTTATTTCCAGGTTCTTCAAGAGCAGCTACACGCAGTTGCCAACTTCCCTCCATGTGGTGCCCCAGCATGCCTTGTGCTGGTGATGCCACACATACCATTCATCTGCCCTGGAGAATGGAGCCTACCTCTAGGGTAAGGCAACAGGCACAGCCCCAGAGGCCTGGCTCCTGTGGGTCAGCAGCACCAGTCTGGGGGAGGGAGTGCAGATTGTGAGCCTGCTCCCCTTCCATGTGTCCATGCTTCCACTTGAGTGGGCTTGCTCTTTTGTTTCCAGCCAGATGCCCAGGGCATCCCACGCATGGTTCTGGCAAGCCTCAGTCCTCCTTTTGAAATGCCTGCTATGAAATGCAGAGAGAAAGCATTGCATTTGGGGTTAAAAGAAACAATACAAAATCTAGACTTGGGGTAAAATAATCTGGGTCCTCACCTTTTTTACCAACAGTAAGTAGTTTTCTAAACATTTCATTGTTCTTTATAATTTCCAGCCCTGTGGGCTAGTGGGCTGGGGATACTGCAAAGGAAGGTTTAGGAAACAGTACAAGACTGAGGAGAAAACTTGGGCGCACTTACCTTCCTTTTGAGGCAGGCTCTGGTTTTTATTGCTGATGAATGGTGGGTGTGATGCCCTGCAGACTGTATAAAACAGCACCACATGAAGGGGAGCTGGAGACTCTTAGGTGGTTCTAAGACTTTAGCATTGGCATAAAGTACTAGGAACTTCATGATTTCTTTCCTGTGCTTCAGACAGATGCACTTGTATACAGTACCCTTCTCCCAAAGACTGAACAGATTCACAGCAAAACCAATGAGTTTGTTCTAATGGTGTGCTGCTCAGCTGTTGCTGCCAGCATATGCATATCCTCCAAAAGAAGAACCTGAGAAATGGAGAAGACTGAAGGGAAGAATTAGAGAACTAGGCAGAAAAGGACTCATAGTTCAAGGCAATTCTAGCTCATGGTACCAGTACTGTGACAGAAGGTGAAGTGGATTTAATGATAATGGTATTTTAAAGCTACATATTCCTTGGGGTCTGAGTACTTGGCTTTTAGATCTGTTCTGTTGTGCTGGTCACATTTAGTCTTTTCTGGATAACCCACAGGAACTGAAAATTCTTTTAGGAAAAAAAGGCTGACATTTTCAGAAAGTTGCAGGAATTTTGGACTGTAAGAGAAACATATATTCTCGGAAGTATTGGCAACAATTCATTATGGCTCCTCCAAAATGTGTCTGCTTACATGAGGTGGTGGACTTGAACTTAATGGTCTGTAGGAGGAGCTATGACAAGCCTCCATAAAAATGTGACTGTGAAAGGTTAGAGGTATATAAGAAAACATTTTGTCTGTATAAAACCAGAATATTTCCAGTGCTAGCTTGATTTAGGGCATCTGTAGAAAACTATGAGACAAAGATGTTAATTCCCAGACCTTGTTCCTGCACTATAACATAGTGCTTGAAGAACTTACAATTTGTGGACTAAGAAACAGCTGCATAATTTTTAGGAAATATACTATATTTTGGTATATAATGTTGCATAATAGTATGTTTCTAAGTTTTTTAACTTGGTTGAATATAGTAATAAAAAAAAAAAAAAAGAAGTTCTGTTCTTTACCTTTTTACATTCCCATTCCACTTGAGAGTGTTCACAGAGATTTTGTTTTTCTTACATTTTGAAAAAAAATGGATGAGGGGGGGGGGGGGAGCAGGGATAGAAAGAGGGAGGAAGAATTTGTTCCTGAAATACTTGTCCTTTTCTGAATGCAACACAGATTGCTTTCAACGGTAGTGCTTTCTTGACGAAGTTTGTATGTGTGTGTTTGTCCAAGTACTTTAATGTCCTGAAGGGGAAAATAGATTAAATTTAGCTGAATTAATTTAACCCAAGGGAACCTGGCTAGTCAGCGTTTTAGGTTGTATGTTTGTTATTTAATTTATTGCCTTAAGTGTAATATGTCAGGATGTAATTTTGGTCTCCTGAAGATAGTAGAGAATCAGTCTTTTTCAGGAAGGATCAAAACAAGTGTAGTGAAGCAAGGAAGCCAGGGACAATATTTAACTTGCTTGGAAAAGAGATCTAGTACTATATATTTACTGGATAAGCTTTCACATGCTGAGGCAGGCACAGTAGGAGCTAAGCAGTAAGAAAAATGTTAGGTGCAAACTTTCCACTTGGCACATTTATTTGTAGTAAATTTTCAAATGCACAACTTTCTAGAATTAGACAAATTCCCTCTATTGTCTTTTACCAGTTTTGTCCCCATAGCTCTAATAACAGCAGTACTTGTTATTATTCACTGATGTTGTTAATGATACCAAAGAGCTAAAATTTGTTCTGCTAGGGCAGAGGGGAGGAAGGCAACTGTGCCTGAAGGAATCCTTGGGACTCTTATGTGGGCACAGTGGCCACCCTCACTGAAAAGGGAGGTCTAGTACCCAAGATGTTCCTCTTACCTGCCTTTCAGACACTGGGCAAGTTCATCCTCTCTGTCTGCACACCAGGTTCACAACAGAAGGTGGTATACAATAGGCAATCATCAGCTTTTGGTTTGTGTAGGACAGGTACAGTACATGTGAAGAAGCATAAGACACACTGAAGAAACCTTGTTTGAAAGAATACCAACCCCCGGTGCCATGTAAACCTGATAGACTGTAGACAGACATAAATTAGGGATGTGCTTTTAGCCCCTAGGATGCTGTAATCCTCTTTGGTATTGTTTCTGTGAGATAACTCAATGTCTCAAGTACAAAATGCTGCTTCAAAGATAGCTAGGCATGCTGGCATTTTATGATTGTTGTTTACTGAAATCCTCTGCAGTATGTTTCTCTGTTGATGAGCTTTTGGTACTCCCTTGAGTTCTGAGTTAAGCTTATGCTGCAACTGTGGTGTAGGGATACTACTGTCATGTGCAGTGAAGGACATCTAACCATTTCAGAATGTATTGACATGTATTTTTACAGAGATGGCTAACAAGTTCTATGGACCATATTTCTCCTAAATACCTTTTAGTATTCTGCTAAAACCAGGTATTAATCCTCCCTTTCATAATTTTGTAATAGTATTTCAAATAATCTGACCTGCACTTCAGAGTGCTCAGTCAATTTAATAAATGGAACACATGAACACATTCAGATCGCTTCTGGAACTAGGAATCGCCTGAGATACCTCACAGTTGCTCCTGTTGTACATGTTGTATAGATATTCTTTGGAAAAAAACTTGCAGTTCCTTGGATTAATTTTGGGTTTTATTAATTGAGCTTTCATGTTACCCGTTCTTCTCATAGTCTTTATGAGTTTCATAACAATTGGTGTTTTTCTTCAGGAAAACACTCACACTGTTCACTAGGAATTATGTGAATATGTGTGAATTTCAGATTTTATTTTTAAAAACAAACAAACAAAAAGTTTCTAACCATCCTGGAAACTAGTTGTAGAGAAAAAATGTAAAAATATGAGAGCCTCTGCATTCAGGAAACAAATAAGAGTAACTGTTGTATTGTTTGTTTGTTTTTAATCTAATGATTTAGAGACCCATTGCAGGATTTGTCTGAATATAGGCCATTGGCAGAATGAGGACTCAAACTACAAACTAGATTTGGAAAATGCTTGATATCAAAAAAATTGCAAATGTAATGATGTAAAAATAGTAAAATTCTGCTTTGTGCAATAAGAGTGTTATTGGATTACAGAATTGATCACTATGACTTTCAACTGGGTTTATTCATTTGGACAACCTTCAGTGTATATTTCCTCATTACTTTTAAAACTTCTCATAAACAGAGATTAAGGCAGAATACTACATGCCAAGATAGTAAAATAGCTATTTGAAGGCATATTTAGATAATAAAGGAAAACAGATTTTTACATCTGAAAAGATTAGTTACAGGCAGTTCAAGCAGTACAATTTTAGAAGCATAGTCTCAAGAGTGCACAGTTTCAGTATGACATACATAGAAAATACAGAAACGAAAATATGAAAAATATATAGAATGTGAAGTCTAATTATTGTAATACCTTTCTGAAGTAGTGAGAGTATGGCTGACAGACGGGTACAGGACTAACAAGCAGCAAGTGTGCATTCCATCAGAAGATAAACAGAAGTCCACAAAAGGTATTTTTTATTGGATAGAGGGGGATGTGCAAAGTGAGAAACATCCTAATACATCATTTCCAATGTATAACCTGGACTAATGACTGAGGCTTGTCCTGCATGAATACCTTTCTTACAGCTAAAGTGGTTATCATGCACTTAAGAGTTGTTTAGAAGATAAGCACAACAGGACAATTAATGAATACAATGTGTTGTTTACAGTGTGTTTCTTTTAGATGCATATAGTCTTTGGCTTCAAGTTGCTCAATTAAGAGCAAACCAGTGGTTATGCCAAATACCTTAATAAAGGAACCTCTTAATTACAGCTCAGCAAGGGTGAGTGAGTCTGAATTGTGGAAGTGATGGAATTGAAAGCAGACTCTGGACCCTGATTAACTATGTGTGGTGTGCAAGTGCCACACAGGAGGCGAGGTTCTGATGGTCTTGAAGAACCATGGTCTGTGAAATGTAAATCATGGCCAGTCAGAGAAGCAGCCAGCAGAGCCCCTTCTGCTGATGTTACTTTAGCTTCAAAAGACTGTCCTTGGCTGGCTGATTGGTAGATACGCTTATATACATTTATGTACATTAGGTACTCTTAACACTACAGTATATCAGTACTTCTGGGAAGAAATGAGCTTGCATCTTCCCCATCAGGGCTCCATTATAAGCATGTTCTTTGGTATGCTCATCCTTCACAGAGAAGGCTGCTACTGTGCTGATGGTTTCAAGCCAGCTGTTACTGTATATTGTGTGTTGTGGTTATTTAATTTGATTTCACAGTTAATGACCTAATAATAGTTGCATCTAAAGTGTCCTAGGACAATAAAGTCTCCAAGTGCCCCCTGGACTTCCATTTGATAACCCTGTTTTATTTCTGATGTATGTCTGTCAAACTTGAAGGTTTCCAGTGATGGTGACTGAATCATCTCTCTAGGCAGTCCATCCCCATGCTTCAGTGTCCTTATGACTAGAGTTTTTCCTGATGTTTTACCGGAATCTAAATTACTGTAGTTTGAGCATGGTATTTCTCATCCTGTCCGCCCT